TCTGCCGAGGCTCTGCGCTTGCCTTTCAAGTGTGTGCAGGTGTGCATTCTTTGTAGGTTAAGTTGTCAAACTATTTGTGCAGCATATGAAATGGATATTAGGTAACTTTCCACGGCAGCAGAAGTAGTGCCGCTGTGTTATTAAGAGCTGTGGAGTGTCTCAACACATGATAATCCTAATTGCGTCGCCTCACTAAAGCGTTACTTCCCCACAAATGCGTTTTTGTAAACGTTTCCACTCTGTGCGTCCACTAAACACTAACAATAACACCGTGTCAAATGCAGCCTCTCACTGTATTAGTGTTTAGGTCACTGATACTCATGGAGAAATAACTTGAGCAAAATAAACACACCAGTGCAGCCCCTCGCTTCAACCTGAACTACGGCCAAAAAGCACAATAACAGGAAAACGGACAAGTCCAAGAAGCCAAAAGGAGGAAAACATGTCTTCAAAATGGGAAGAAAAACCTACCAAGTGAAATGCGGCCTTGATGTCCACTCCACACCATCTCTTATGTCTCTTATTTCCCTTCCTCCTCTATCGGTAGACGCTCTGGATCCCTTCGTCGTCCTCGCTGACAGAAGCCTCTATTGTTGCAGCCAGTGAGCAGTAGTAACACGAGGACCCGTGAGGGCTCGTGCTTTCTCCGCTGTGTCCTCCAGCAGCCCCTGGTTTTCCTTCCCAGTGCGGTCACGGGCCGCCGGCAGCCACAGACCCCAGGCAACCTCAGCCTCTGGTGGCCATTTTGGCTGCCTGTCAGTGAGGGATCACTATACACTGCAACCACACCTGCATTCTGCAATTCTCATGTAACACTTGAGCTCCAGTGTGTATGAACGGACACCAGAGTCCCAACGTTTCACCGGCCTACAGTTATTGTTGGTAGTGGCAGGATGTCTGTATATATTTTACCAGCATTGCACCCATAAAGCTACAAAAGACAAAAAACTGTTGTCAATTTACTAATATAACTAACAATATACTAATTATATTTACATCACATCTAGGAGATGGAAACACTCATACATTTAGACACACACATTTTAGATGGCTAATTTCCATTCAGTCGCCCTTAACCAGAGAAAACAGCATATATTGGGACATTAATGAGCACACAACATAATCAATATCACCCACAAAGGTTTAGTTAAGGAGATTCAACCTGCCTGATTAATAGTTACCGCCAATTGCCAAATTCTCACCCCGCGTCATGGAAGTTTCAAAACTCAACCCAGTTCATATCTGAGTGTGTTCAAACAACAAGCTGAGGGGCATCCCCGATCGGGCTCCGACAGCTGTGGCTTCATGCTGCAAGCCGCTCGTCTCCTCTTCACTCAGCACCCACAGCGGCGCCTGCAAACACAAACCCCGACATCCAAGATGTCATCGTGCACCGCCCCTCTGCCTCCTCACACTCAAATCTACTCCTTTCTGTTTCCCCTCCAACAAAGAGCATTGGATTTCACGTCCCCTTAAACCCCCAAAACTCAACACAAACCCGTCATCCCGGCCCACAGCTTCCTGATAAGAGATACCCAAGTTTACACGCCGTTCCATAAACGTAAAAGAAATCAGTATGAACACAACAATTAAGTTAATATACTCTTGAATACAGAACAGAGCCTTTACTGCAGCAGTAACGTTCCACATTTTTAAAGGCAATGAGTTTGAATATTTAGCAAATAGTATGTAGCATTGGTTTCTGCAATGCTCAACAGTCTGCATTGCATATACAGAATCTTCCTTTAGATCATTCTATCTTATTCTAAATTATTGTCAAATGATGTTGTTCTTCCAGCGGTGGGATTTGTATGGATGAGAAAGATCACACACGGACAATGAGGAATGAAGTGATGATGTTTTTTGCTCTGGCGTCAACAAACATATATGCTTATCAATACTATATAAAAATTAGTATTTGTACTTTTTAATGTGCATACAGTTTTCATTGTGAGTTCTGAGGTGTACTGCTAAATCACTTAAATATACTGTATACTTTCGTGCTTGCAGATGTATTGCAAACTTTTAAAAAATATTTCATGTATCTACCATTTTCAACGAGCACCCAAAGTCAAAGGAATGTCTTTTATAATTTGTCAGTTTATAAATGTTGCCTGCCTTGTCTTTCTTACTTGTCAACAAATCGGAAGACTGGAGTTTAAAGTTTCCCATAAAAGCCATTTGTATTTAACTTTTTCTCTGCTGATTACTTGCACATCTTTTTATCTCTCATCTCTTAAGAAACAGCCGGCATTGAAGGAGTCTTCAGCACTGAAGCTCCATTCTGTCTCAAACTGCACTGGCACCCTCCCAGGTGTGAATGTTTGCATCGATGAATCAGGGCGGTACTGGATAAAGCGCATGGCTGTTTAACAAGCTCTTCCCTGAATAAATAATGAGCTTAGCAAATATCTAATTGGACAATAAATCAATACCTTGTTACTTTCTGTTAGGATCTGGATTATATATTTAACTCTTGTAGTAAACTATTAAAAAACATTACACAGACGGCCCGTGGCGTTGGTGTGTAAAAGAAAAGGCCTGAACAGCCATCCGCTGTTTACACAAATAGCAACCGCACATGGCTCTCCCTGCCTGGGACAAGCTTACACACACAAACACAGCGGAGCAAATGCATACACAAAGACGAAACTCTGGAAAGGATTTACAGAAGAAATCTCAGATGTCTCACGGAGATTAGGTTATAGTAGATGTGGCTTCGCGAGACATCAAGCCGTTGCCGCTGCCCTGGACGGGATGCAGACATTTCAATACGCCTTTCAGACACGGCTCTCAATTCAAGCGAGTCTTTCGAGCGGAAGAAAATGAAAATATAGAAAGCAGTCGGGGGCGATTTTGGATTTGGGCTGAGTCGTTTCCGTAAAGGCCGTTCTGACTGCAGTTGTAATTTGCTCCGCAGGATCCGGCTGCGTTGTGGCGGAGCGTCTGCACTCCCTTGTCATTTACTTGTCTGTGTGTGGCTTGATGTTTGTGTGGATGTGTGCGTCCACCATCCACTGTGACGCACAACCAAACTAACCTCCCGGCTGCCTGGACGCACTCCAGCCCTCACTTTTGTTTTCTCTCTGTGTGTGTGTGTGTTTTCTTAAACGCTCTACACAACCTTTTCCCATCCTTGTTCGTTACATTCAAACTAGTTGCAGTCCGATCAATCATCAACCCGTCAAATCATTCGACCAGTCTTTTTGCAGTGACGCCGTTTGTTTTGTTACAAGAGTCCCCTCGTACAGCTTTAATGCCAGACATGATTTGTTACCTAAAGAGAGGAAGCTCCTCGTCAAAGGGAAATATGCAGTTTGTGGCTTTATGAAGGGGTGCTAAGCCGTCTGCAGGCCCACCGCAACATGAACTCATTACTTCTGATTTCCACTTTTTAGTAGGAAATTACAGACTCCAACAATAAACCTGTAATAAATTGTAAATGTAATTTTACCATATCTCCATGGAATCAGCAGTATGCAAACCACTGCTGTGTGTGTGTGTGTGTGTGTGTGTGTGTGTGTGTGTGTGTGTGTGTGTGTGTGTGTGTGTGTGTGTGTGTGTGTGTGTGTGTGTGTGTGTGTGTGTGTGTGTGTGAGCATGCGTGCGCGTCAACGTCTGGAAAGCCCATTTAGATCTGTGCAAATGGGGGTAGAGAGAGAGATCTGACCTTGGCCCTTCAGTCACTTAACACTCCTCATAGAAAGGGAACCTGATGACCCTGTACTCACACCAAACCTACACACCTATGGCATTACGAAGCCGCGTGTGTGTGTGTGTGTGTGTGTGTGTGCATGCAGTTGTTTTAAGTCGCATCTTTAAAGTGTTTTCCTTTAGCTTTTAATGTGTGTGGTGCAATTGGAACGTTTCACATGCCGTCTCGTCCCCCTACATGACTCATCAACAAGGGCAGCAGACACAGTTGGATGATGGTGAAGCTTTAGGCGTCAAGGCGCCGTGTTTTACGGTTGTACGCAGGGAAATGGACCTGTGTCTTCACGAATCCCATGGCAGTAAGATTTAGAAAACGTCCTTCCAATTTTTCCTTAATGGTAATTTATTTTGTTTATTTTGTCATTCTAGACTATTCGATGTTTTAAATGCATCGCCAGTCTCGTCAGTAACAAAGTGATTCTGTTCTGTTCATCACTCGAGCAGTAGTGTCTGGATATGTAGTTTCAATCAGTCAGTAGCTACAATGTGCTGTGTGTGTGTGTGTGTGTGTGGGTGTGTGTGTGTGTGTGTGTGTATGCACGGAGGCATCCTGCACTCTGCCATAGCTTGTGGTTATGTCTGGTCTTTAAGCCCCCATATGGCACAAATCAAAGCACATGACACTGTGATCTCACACTAAAAGAATCGCCTGCTAGTCGGCGTGTGGGGTGACTGTGTGACTGTGTGCGTATCAGTGTGTGTATGAAATGAGAGAGGTGAGAGGTGGAGGGAAAAACAAGACACTGGGGGCGATAAGTGTATTTAAAGAGAAGGTAAAGATGAAGGCATCAGGAGTCACTTTTAAAGAAAAAATTGTGAATGTCAACCTCTCGCTCTCTCTTTTTCTCCCTCCACATGTGTTTCAGATTAGAGCTCATGATGACATCTCTCTGCCATAAACAGAAATAAAGTCAAACATTAATTCCTAATACGGTTTACTGTGAATGGGGATGTTTCTGTGTGTGTGTGTGTGTGTTTCAGATCTCAGCCTTTGAGTTGAATATGATTTATCTTTAGCCAAGCAAACGGAGACCTCTGTCTTGGTTTAGATCCAACAACAAGAAACAGCCTCCTCTGTCCACTTAAGTGCAACAACTTGGTTTTGTGCAAGATTCAAACCTAGACTGCCCTCTAGTGGAGATTGTGTATATTACAGCATATTTGGGAACATTTTAACTCTGCAAAAGCCCGCTTCCTCTTTCAGGCATACCTGTTTGTATTTGACCCGTTGAGATATCTATAAGCAATCTATGAATTGATCCACAATGTGTTTCTGAATGTCTCAGGGAGGATTTTGATGAAGAAGGGTTCTGCCAGCCGTACAGAGGAATAGCGTGCGCCCGCTTCATTGGGAACCGCAGCATCTTCGTCGACTCGTTTCAGATGCAGGGAGAGATCGAGACCCAGATCACAGGTGAGAAACAGAAAACACAAGATTGTTTTAACACTTTGAACTGAAAATGTTATTTTGGTTTCATGAGAATCTCAAGAAATATCTAAATATATTTGTACCTTCACAGTAGATGGCATTCATTCATAAACACATTTTCTGCTATTTCTTTTGCTAATTAAGACGTTTTTCATATCAATACATCCAGCCACAAACATACATATACTTCTACAGTGAATGCTAAAAGATCAACAAAGCCTTACAAACGTTTTGAAGGATAAAACGTTTAAAATGTGTAATACACTGGATCTCGTGCAACCTCCTGCGAACGGCGTCTATTTAGGATTATGAACATTGATGAATGCTGCGCGCTGTAGAAGGAAAACAGGACGTCGCTGATGGCGTTCAGAGGAAGTTCTGCAGGGTCACGACTCTGCGTGGAGCCTAAATGGCTCACATACTACTGTGCTTTTTTTGTTTAGTGTGTTCGTGTGCAAATGTCGGTTTGATCCGTACGTTGTTGATCAAATCCGTCAAGCTGTCAGAGTCTCCAATCAACAGTTCGGGGGCGGAAGGTCGTTCCTGAACTCTAATTTAAAACATCAAGGTTGAGAGATAATTAAGATTAATTATGCCACAGGGTTGTTATGAGCCCACTATGGGGCGGTTAATCATACCTTTTGTACGAACATCAACATTCGGTCGCTATTCACCATCTTGAATTGAACTTTTACTGATCTTCTTTTTTGCCAAGCAACGTGTGCTGGAGGAGCGTTTGGATAACTGCCAAATTCAGTTATCCACTTTTTATTCGCTTGTCTTCTCCTTCACCCCCCCTTCTGCCCCCCACCCCCCTACAAAGCTGCTTTACTGAAAAGCATGTGTTTGCAATAACTGCACAGTGTAACTATGAATCATACATTTACAGCTACAGCTTTCTTTGTCAGTCTCCCTCTTTGATCCTTCCTGTGTGTAGACGCTTTGCAGTTGGATGCAATGTGAACGTAGGAATGCTTTTAAACTTTTTATTTTTTTATGATTACAACAAAAAAAGAAAAACCAAGAAATGTGTAAATCATTCATATTTTTGTGTCTGGGGTCTTTCAACTTTTAAAAAACAACTCCAATCTTCATGGAAGAAACATGGCACCAAACTGCGTTGTTTAAGTGAATAAATTTGAATTCTGTCTCCCTCCCCGTACAGCGGCGTTCACCATGATCGGGTCATCCAACCACTTATCTGATCGTTGCTCCCAGTTTGCCATCCCGTCCCTCTGCCACTTTGCCTTTCCCACCTGCGACCGGAGCTCTGGAAGCGACAGGCCTCGCGACCTGTGCAAGGACGAGTGCGAGATCCTAGAGAACGACCTATGCAAGACGGAGTACATCATCGCCCGCTCAAACCCCCTCATCCTGAAGAGGCTGAAGCTGCCCAACTGTGAGGACCTGGCCGCCTTCGACAGCCCGGAGGCCGCCAACTGCCTGAGGATCGGCATCCCCATGGCCGAGCCCATAAACAAGAGTGAGACACCTGCAGCTGCTGGTTGCATGACTTGTTACTTCTGTGACTGTAGCTTAGTAATTTAATGTGAGCATATGTTATATATAAACATATCATAACATATGCTCATATACAAGAAACCACTTTATGGTGTGGTTGAACAATTGCAGCCAATTAATATTTTCATTGTTGATTAATTTGCAGGTAATTGTTTTGAATATTTGATAGGTGTTTAAAAAGTAAAAGACTTCCCACAGCAAAGAGATGCATTCAAATCATCATTCATTCAGTCAGTCATATTTTTCCTCCTTTAGATCACAAGTGTTTCAACAACAGCGGGACGGACTACAGAGGGACGGTCAGCGTGACCAAGTCGGGCCGTCAGTGTCAGCCGTGGAACTCTCAGTACCCGCACAGTCACACCTACCTGGCCATCCGCTACGCCGAGCTGAACGGCGGACACTCGTACTGCCGCAACCCCGGGAACAAACTCGAGGCGCCCTGGTGCTTCACGCTGGACGAGGGCGTCCGCATGGAGATCTGTGACATACCCGTCTGTGGTAAGACACTAATTATAAAATGCCTTAGAGTAACCAAGATCCCTTCTTAATCAGAAAAAATATTTCAACAATTAATCAATCCAAATTGTATAACCGCTTCATCTCTATTATGCATTTTTATTACACGGTGATGTCAAGTCTAGCGATGGGCGTAATATCTGTTATGATTCCTCTCCCCGTCTGTCCCTGTAGACCATAAAGAGAAGTCTGGCGGCAGCAACATGGAGATCCTGTACATCCTGGTCCCCAGTGTAGCCATCCCGTTGGCCATCGCCTTGCTCTTCTTCTTCATCTGCGTGTGCCGCAACAACCAGAAGTCCCCGAGACCTCCTGCGCCGCGCCAGCCCAAACCGGTCCGGGGACAAAACGTTGAGATGTCCATGCTCACCACGGCATACAAGCCCAAGGTAGATTAGCCGCTGCACAGGCCGCTGTGGGTTGTGCGCTACTTCCTGTCCCCAGTTTAGTTAGTTGTGTAAACCCTGTGGACCAGTGGAGACGTCACCGTAGAATATTTTGCATTGCACATCATACCACTGAAAAGTTAGTTCTCCACCCGTCTCTCATCCACTGCCACATATCAGTCGGTTAAACTTGAGTCGTCTCATCTTCATCATCTCACTTCCCTGTCAGCATTCACCTGCTAGAACACACATAACTCTTTCAGATCAGTGCTCTTTGGCTGCGTTTTTCGTTTTAAGTCGTGAGAGCTGACAGAAGGAGTCAAAACACTGGCACAGCTCGTCCCTGTGCCAACCGGGATATGTCTGAGCATGCGGGTGTGAGACAGACGGAGAGAGAGACAGAGAGAGAGAACTACCTGTCTCAGGCGGAGGTTCAGATCTCGATCTGCAGAGCTCTGCAGGTCCAGGAATGTCTGGCTGTTGCTCTCTTCCTCTGTATAGTTTTCTCTCACTATCTCTTTTCTTTTTTCCACATCCCTCCCTCTCACTACATCCATCTCTCTTTTGTTGCTCCATTTCTGTCTCTCCCCCCATATCTTTTCCCCCCTTCACCCCCTCTCTCTGTCACAGGACCTCTTTGTAGTGCAGCTTGTGGAGCTCCTGCTCTGCCAGACAACACGTAGCTCACATTAGGATGCGTATCACATTTCTCATTCGTGCCACGTCTGTTTATCTTTTTCCACATCGCTTTTTTGTGGTGGTGAGGTTGGTGGGATGGGGATTATCTAGACAGCGTGTCTGTGTGGAGCTGAGCTGAGGCTCAAGGTGATGTGTATAATATTACCATCAGCAGAATGACACAAACGCGTCAGAAGCCATTAAGATAAAAAATATTTTATTTTTATGCTATGGAGCTAGTGTTTGGCTCTGTCTCCTCTCTGTGTTTTTGTGACGGCCATATATTTGCAAAACGTTGTGGTTACGTTTTAGAGTGACAACCATGCACTTATGGAGTTATACAGTGAATTTGAATTGGTCCTCAGAAAACAAGGACCTGAAATACGGCCCGCATGTATCAGATTGCATCTGTTTTAGGAATTAAAAAGCAACATTTTTTTCCAGCACATGCAACCGATGTGGTAGCTTAATACGATCATATACGATCATTTGGGTAAATGAGGACTGATTTACATCTTCTTAAAACCTTTTTGATGAGTGTCAAAAACTCAAATCATACAGGGTTGGTACCCTTCACAGGGAGAACCCTAACCCTTCCAGATTTGATAGGAAGGTCGTAGAAAGATGAGACTAAGTGAAACGTGATTCTCTTGGGCTCCTGGGCTCAAAAGTGCTATTATTTCAACTTCTGGAATTTCTTTAAATTCTTTCTTAAAGAGCTTTCATTTTAACGGCATTGAATTCGTCTCTTTTGTCTGCAAATTTTGATATAAATTTCATCAAGATTGCTCACCATGCAATATTTTTTCATCCACCAGGTGGCGCAATATTGAATAAATGGGAATGTGGAAGGGCCTTCCAATTTCTCATCTATTCCATTCATTTCTTTAAACTGCATTACAACAATTTCAACGTTACAATTCTCAATATGTTATGCTCTTTCCAATACAATTCCTGCAGGTCAAATCTGAGGCTCTACAAATTTTAGCTGTTGAAATCCCTTCAATTCAATACCTTGAGTGACAGAGCAACGTCCAAACTTCAATTTTCTATTGAAATCTACATCAAAAAAGTCTTTGAAATATGAAAAAAAAGAATGTTCTTCTAACCCCTCATCACCCATGGAGGAACTTGATTCCACATTTTGATTCCCACATTTTGAATGACTGATGGCCGAAATGTGGAATCACTTTCCAGCCTGATATCTCAGTAGTACAATGACCTAGCTAGACTTGTTGGATTCATACATCTCCAGGCTTTTAGGTCGTGGCGGAATCAGCTTGATACCTGCACCAGATGCAAAATACTTATGCCCGTAACTTGTCGATTTGCGACAAGAATTTGAGGTCCTGTGCCACGGCAGTCAATGGCAGGCCAGTAGCCATGTAGAGGCCCCTTGTTGGATTGTTGGATTCATACGATTCCAGGCTTTCAGTCGTGGTGGAATAGTGTCTTAAACCATCTTGGTTGTTGAAATATGACCCGATGAACTGATTCCACATTTTTGAATCACCTTCCAGCCTGCAGTACAATGACCTAGATGGACATTGAACACCTTGTTGGATTCATACATTTCCAGGCTTTCAGCTTGTGGTGGAATCAGCCGGATACCTCAAACGGTCTCTGAAATATGACCAGGTAATAATAATAATATTCAGTGCATTAGTGTCTGTGGTGTAATACAGAGTACAGATCACAACTCAAAGCAAGAGGTAGAGTCAAAAAGGAACATTTATGAACAATTAACAATAATGTCTCTGTAAAACTTGAACAAAAAAGAAATCAATCAATCATTGATTCATTGTTCGGCGCTGGCCCTGGAGCCAGCACGACAGGGTCTGCTTCCTTCTTCGGCGCTGGCGCTCGAGCCAGTTCAACAGGGGCTTGGAGAGGCTGGGCTGCTTTTAGAGGCTGGGAGGCAGTGTCCTTGTTCGCGTAGTACTGCACAATCTGTACCCCAAGCTTTTTGACCACCACCCTACACCTCTTCGTCTCACTCTCAGGGTCAAAGAGCAACCTTCTTTTTGAGGTCTTTTGCAGATGACTACATCTCCTCCTCAGAGGGAGATGACTCATGGTCATCATAAGTGGGCTCTTCCTTTGAGGTACTGGTGTTGCTGGTGCCGCCCTCTTCCTCTTGCTCAGCCTCGCAGCCCAGAGCGCTCTTCAGGGCTTTGAACCTCAGCGTCCGACTCATGAACATATCGTCTCTGTCGGGCAGAGCGAGGTCGAACCTTTCCGCTGTGTCCGGGTCATGGCACATGGTCTTGGCGACCTTCCGCCGTTCCTTTTCGGAAAGGTATTTGCTGGCCTGGAAACCCGGACAAAGAAGTTTTTGCAACAGTTTGAAATGAAAACAGTCCTTTGGGCAACTGTGTCTAAACAGGCTTAATAAACGCTCCCAAAATTGAGGATTCCTAATTCCAAATTCTGATCTATAGCCACAATCCAACTTATATTAAGTTCTTACTTGAGTGGAGACGCTGCTCCGGATTCGGTTAAAGGTGATGCCGCCCTCCATTCCGGCATCCCTCCACGCCAGACTCAGGACGTTAACTGGCTTGTCAATCCGCTTTCCCACCACCGTGTGGAGAACATGCTCCCCAGGCCGGCTTTGGTTACAGCAGCAACCTTTGGCCAAGAACTCCATCCAGGAGTACTCCTGTGTATTCAGCTTTTGCATTGACTTCTCAAGCGGCTGATTTGAGCTCTCTTTGGCCTTTTCTGCTCTGGAGCCAATTTTGATGAAATTTTCAAAAGTGATTTTGCCCCCTCTGCATCACACATGTTGTAGTGCTCCCCCAGGGCTGTCGGGAACAGTTGGTCCCCTGCGTCCCCGAGTAATCCACCTGTAAACGTAAAAGGTCAAAATGTCAGATTCCATTCAGGCCTACAGATTAAACCAAAGTCATCCATCACTGAGCTAAATCTGGAAGTCAATAGATGGCAATTTGCAATCAGTTTAGGCCTCCAGTTCTCCACAACGATGCGACGCGAACAGCTCATTGTAAGGCCACTGTGTCAGGAGGTTAAGAGCAACGAGATTGCGTTTGTGTCGTCGAGCCTGAGCAAACTTTGGCGTCCCGGGGCGATTCTGAAAACGTCTCTCCTTTCGCTGTACAGCTGAGGGAAAAAATTATCATCTCCCAGCGACTAGTAAAGGGAGTCCATTTGGACACTTCAGCGACTTAGGACCCATTCTGGCTGAATGCTGGGCTCGCACTGGCAAAGGGAGTATGTTTGACACATAACAATGGTAATGGATGAGTCTTTGGAATGATGGTGTCAAAATCTGGAATCTCAGGATGCCTGTCTCAAATTTTTGACACACGACAAAATCTGGAATTAGCTCATTTGTGGTCTCGGTCTCGGCCAACCCTAAATTACAACTGACTTGGAATTCTGGAATTTGGACTTGGAATTATCAATTTTTTTCACCCAGAATTCCAACTTCCAGATTCCCACATGTTGTTTAGTCAATGGGGAAAATTTTGGAATTATGGAATATCGGGTTTTGCCATTCATTGTCTATGTGAAAACCCTCCCCCTAACCCTTCTTATCTACAAGGTTGTTTTGGGGTTAGGCTACAAGCCAGCGGGCTTTGATGCCGGGTCACCCAAAGGCCATCGCCCCTGACAATCCCTTTAGACACACACAAACATACGCACAGAGAGAACTGCGGTGATGTGAGGAGGATCTGAGGGTTTGGGTGTGGGGAGGAAAGAGCGAGTGAAACAGACCGGTAACTAAAAACATCTGTGCTTCTCATAACATCAGTAACTCACACACACACACACACACCCACCACCCCCCTCAGAGCTCATACAGGACTGTGTGTTGCTCTTCTGCTCACTGAGGAATTTCATTATCCATCTCATGGGTCCTGGAATTTGAAAATCTGCCAACATCGCCTTACCTTTTATCTTTTAGTACAGCTCCGCGCGCACACACACACACTTATACTGTAACTCTCTCTCTCTCTCTCTCTCTCTCTCTGAAACAACCATACGAAATGAGGTGAATAACTTTCTGCGCACACACACATAATAATAATGCTAATGGACATGATTTTTTTTTTCATATTATCTCGACTGTGGTTTTCTATACATGATTTTTTTATTTAGATACAAGATGCTCATTCTAAGGGAAAACACAACAATTCTTTCTTTTGAAGGATTATACACCAATGCAAAACATAACACAGAAGAGGAAAATATTCTTTGTTCACCTCCAGTCTTCTGTTTATCCCTCATAGTAAGAATAAAACACCAAAATGAATCCCACTCGCAAAGACAGACAAACATTTTCTGTATTTTCTGCAGGCGACTCTACAGTTTAACTCTAGTCTACTAAAAGCTGCTAACCGGTCAGCTAAATTTAAGTAATTTTCCCACATTGCTCTCTCAAGCCTTGACGGGGGTCATTAGGAGCTGATGTAATGGCTTCAGTATATTTAAGACCATTATCAACTCTCTGGGCCATACTTTTATTTATTTGTTTAACTCAAACACATATTTGTTGCATTAGGCAGTTGGCCTGCATCCATTTAGCATCCCCGATGTAAACTCCATGTCAACATCTCACGTTCCCTTTCAAGGATAATGGTGAGGAAAGCAATGATCTAATTTGTTGTGTCACAGCTCTCTTCTGACCCACCGATCTCACTCCTCTTCTTCTCTCCGCAGAGTAAAGCCAAAGAGCTTCCCCTGTCGGCTGTGCGTTTCATGGAGGAGCTTGGAGAGTGCACTTTAGGGAAGATCTACAAGGGTCACCTGTATCTGCCGGGCATGGACCAGGCACAGCTTGTGGCCATAAAGACCCTGAAGGATATTTCCAATCCACAACAGTGGGTCGACTTCCAGCAGGTACAGAAGAGATTCCTCCCTCCGAAGCTGAAAAAAGAAGAAACTTTGATGAATGTGTATTGTTGGTGGGACACAGTTGTGAAAATCCTCCACGTGTAACATCTGCAGAACCTCTAAAACCCTGAAATAGTCATTTTTTATTTTAAAGACAGGCTTTTAACTGGTAATTGTGTGAGGACATGGCTCTAAAATACTCCGTTTTAGAATTCAAGGCACTGCTTTGCCATTGGAAACATCTCTTTTCCCACAAGACCTGAAGCATGACTTGCTATATTTCCACAGAAGGTAAACGTGGGCGATGGCCGACTGTATACAGTCAAGTATCCCCTTTTTTCACTTAAAATAAACTGTGGGATTATCCAGATGACTCCTGTGTAAAAAAAACATAATCCTCCCTTTCAACTGCCAGCCTTTAAAGCCCAAACACCAAAACATCTGTCTTTTAAAAGAAAACTTTCAGCCGCCTTTCAAGGCCTCAATAAGTGGACTTTGAGGTGTCAAAAGCAGTTCACCGATGTCTTCCGTGTTTTCGACGACAGGAGGCTGCTGTGCTGACGGAGCTGCAGCACCCACACGTGGTGTGCCTTCTGGGTGTGGTGATCCAGGAGCAGCCCGTCTGCATGCTCTTTGAGTTTTTGCCCCTGGGGGACCTCCACGAGTTCCTCATCATGCGCTCGCCCCACTCTGACGTCGGCTGCAGCAGCGATGAGGACGGCACTGTGAAGTCCAGCCTGGATCACGGGGACTTCCTGCACATGTCCATACAGGTGGGATGTGAAAGCAAGAGATTCCTCGCATTGCTACCGCGGTGCTTTGTACTAGACGCTTCACAGCTACTTCCTCCTTTGATGACTGTTTTCTTTTTGATGAATAAAACCCAGGTGGCAGCTGGGATGGAGTACTTGGCCAGCCACTTCTACACCCATAAAGACCTCGCAGCTCGGAACATTTTAGTAGGCGAGCAGCTCCAAATCAAGATCTCCGACCTCGGTCTCTCCAGAGCAATCTACTCCTCAGACTACTACTGCCTCCAGCCCAAAACCCTGCTGCCCATCCGCTGGATGCCCCCAGAGGCCATCGCGTACGGCAAGTTCACGTCAGACTCTGACATCTGGTCCTTCGGAGTTGTGCTGTGGGAGATCTTCAGCTACGGTCTGCAGCCCTATTACGGCTTCTCCAACCAAGAGGTGATGGAGATGGTGAGAAAGAGGCAGCTGCTGACCTGCCCCGAGGACTGTCCCCCGAGGTATGTTCAGGTCCACGTTGCTGTCCAGCATAAGCTACGAGCTGGATAACGAGAAGATGATGCAATAGTGCAAAGCTCACACGCTTTAACTGTGTCAAAGTGGCCGGCGCTTATTCAGTCAGCATTCAAAGGGTTTTTGTAGAGAACTTTTTCACAATTGTCTGACAACCACCTTCCTCTGATGTCTCTCAGGTTTTATGGTCTGATGACGGAGTGCTGGCAGGAGGGACCAACGCGCCGAACGCGCTTCAAGGACATCCACCTCCGGCTGCGAGCCTGGGAGGGGCTGTCCTCCCACGCCAGCTCCAGCACTCCCTCGGGCGGTGGAGGCAACGCCACCACCCAGACCACCTCGCTGAGCGCCAGCCCCGTGAGCAACCTCAGCAACCCCCGCTACGCGGCTGCTGCCGCCGCGGCTGCAGGTTACCTCTACCCGGCCCAGGCCATCGCCTCCCCGGGCCAGATGGGCCCTATTCAGGCCTGGACGCCCATGGCCGTGACGCAAACCCACCAGCGCTTCATCCCCGTCAACGGGTACCCGATCCCGCCAGGGTACGCCGCCTTCCCCGCCCACTTTCCACCGGCCCAACCAACCAGGGTGGTGCAGCATCACCTGCCGCCGCCCAAAAGCCGCTCGCCCAGCAGCGCCAGCGGCTCCACCAGCACGGGTCACGTGAGCGGAGTGCATTCCACCACGGGCTCCAACCACGACGCCAACACGCCGCTGCTCTCCCACTGCATCATGCCGGGGAGCAGCGGGGGAGCGGTTCAGGTGTACGGACAGGTTGGCCAGAAGGGAGTGGGACAACTGGACCACGCATCGCAAAAGGCGCTGCTTGCCGCGGATTCTGACGCGCTAATGTACAACGACTCGTCGGTCATCACCGCAGGCCTGTAGATAGACTCTTTCTGCCCGGGACCCACATTTGAGAAGTTTAGTGTCTAACATGGGGAGCCAGTCTAACGTTTTCTGCTCTAGACACGCGGAGGCCCAACAGAAACCAGCCGGAATGCACATTTTGACTGTGCAAGAAGCACTGCCACAGCTACACAAGTATAGCCACAGCTGTCTGATTTGTAACGCCTTATTGTTAGAAGCATGTGTACCCACCGCCATGGTTTGAAAACGTTGTGTTATTATTTTAACCTCTGTGTAAATACGGTACATACGTCCTGAAAGAATGAGTGGAATTCAAAGATATATATTCAAGAACTTTTTTATTAAGGAATAGATTTTGAAATTGAAGCCCATCCTAGGAAGTGGTTTGCGTCCCAGTGGGGCAGGAAGTTACTGCGTCAACAAACAGTTACTGGACTGTTTCATGCAGGATTTGAAGGAAACGCTGACACTCACACCTGGACTTTTACGCTCCTTTCAGCTGCGGTGGGACTTTTAGCATTTAGCAATTGATAACCCAGCGATCCGATGTGGGAGCAGCGATGAGAACCAGTTGAGCAGCCTTCACTGGGAAGAGCAACATCGACCTGCTCAAATATACCGACAGCCTTTTGGGTTTCACGTATTGCAGACAGGTGATGGCCACCCATCAAAGCATCTGAACTTCCAACAGAAAACAGGTGGTTAGTTGGCAAGAGCACCTGAATGTTATTTTGTGCAACCTCGGTAAGACTATCTGACACTATTGCAATGTGGACGCAGGCCTGTTTGCCTTTTATTTCAAACATCAGTAAACAGAGAGAAACCAGGAAGTGCTTCAGATTGGACAATAAACATACAAAGGACATGGCATCTATCAATCAAAAGTTGAGGAACTCCTACAGCTCCTGCACCGCTGAACTGGTCCCGTCTCAGGGCACAAAGACTTCACGCACCACACGAGGGCTTGAATAAATGTACCGTCAGTGATGTAAAGCTACAACATGAGAACATTTTTACTGTACTTTTTTTTTTTTATCTGAGAGTTTGATTTGAATTTTGAAGGAATTTTATTCACAGGGCTTGTCTTTATGTCTTTGTCCTTTTCTGTTTTGCAGCGCCTGTGCTCAAAAACCCTCCTGCTACTCCTCAGAGCAAGGAGGGTTACAACAAATTAAGGCTCATTGTAGATCAATACAAAGATCCGCCACATGAACAAAAAGGCTACGAAGAGTATATTTGAAGTGCTTACACTCATAATTTCCTCTCGCCTGAACAGAGTGACCTTAATGCGTGTTATTTGCATGAGCAGGGTTAAGACTGTATCACCGTCTAAACAGAGATTTATGTAGGTTTCTTTCAATTAAATTAAACTTCTCTCAAAGTGCAGCTGAATTTGTTTTTCACCGTTCTGCTAGCATGCAATCATTTATATTTTTTGAGGCATTTAGCTGAATATCCTTTTGTGATATGACATTTTTGGAGACTCATCAGTTCTCAGTCCTGATGATGCCTCAGTCGTTTAGCGTGTAATAGTTTATTAAAAGCAAAGTAAAGTGAATGTGACACTTTTCGTCATGAGAAAATATAAGTCCCAGAACCGGCCGCATCAACACATGACTTTGTGATCTTATTTCTCCCGTACCTTCTGTGTAAGAGACAATCATCGCCTTTGAATGTTTGTAAAAGCGTCCCAGACTGTACGTGTTGCACTTTTTCTCAGTCGGCTGCATTAACCAATCAAACACGCATGTAGTATGGCCTGTTGCCTGGAGAGCAACTTTTAATGGTAAACGTTTTTGAGTTGACGTTTGTGGAATGTAGATAGACGAGACTGAATTCTGTTCATTATTTAGTTAATATCCCATTAAACATTTACTACCTAATTTTACTACAACAAAAGTAGCTGCTCCAATTTATTGCAGAATGAGACAGTATTAAATTAGACTGTACCTCAGTTTACCCCGAGATAATTTATTCAAACCAACTCTGATCACCAGAGCATGTTTGTTCCTCTTGTCAAATTGAGTCTGAGATTATTTGACTCATGTTAAGTTAATTTGCCCAATTGAGTTTTTATTTCATTGCTGTGTTTTGTCTCTTTATCTTTTGTGTTCCTCTGAAGCAAATCAAGCTACTTTGACAGTTTGTACACTTGACCTTCATTCAACATGTCAGCATTTATGTGTACTAATATAGCAGTGCAAAACCACTCGTACACAAGACTGTGAATCTGAATCAAGTCTCCATATTTTAGTATTTTGCAAAACAACAATAACATGGTTGTGCCTTTTTTTCTTCTAAGTCAAAATACAAGTAAATGTATATTTCAATAACAGTGTGCCTGATTAAAGAGGGTTCACGCGCTTATCCTTTTGACCAAGAAAGGCCTTGTCTTTGTATTTTGTCTGAACATTTTTGCACAGATGTTTTGTACGGCAAACTCATCTATTAAATGACGTTGTTTGGTTTACCTTGCAGTCAATGACATTGTTCATTTGTAGGCAATTGTTTCTCATCTGTGGTGGTTTCTTTGTGTCGTGGGTGTCGCAATGAGCATTAGCCTGGTAAACGCAGTAGTGATGATGCTATGAACCCGCTAGGTGGCACTGATTTACCAATTCTGTGCATTTTCTTTAACGCGTTTGCCTTTAAACTGCAGTAGTGGTTGTTGACCAGGTGGTGGAACCATTTGGATGTTTACCTCCAGTAATCCAGGTCTGAGCCACATGACAGCTGGAAATAATATTGGTCCAGCTGAAAGTGCCGAAAGATGGAAAAATGACTCTAGAGAAGTCTTACGTGTGTGTATCTCCATGTGTGTGTGTTTTGAGTCATTTCCTGCTGAAACTCTCATTTTACACATTGAAGGAGCCAAAGTACTTAAAGTGAATCAGATGTATGCACTCAAATGCCAAAAAATATAATTGCTGAACATAAATATTTGTGCAAGGGGCCCTCTTATAATTAAGTTGTATGTGTTCAAATCACCTCAAACTACACTTTAATTGTTCACTTATTATAATTACAATTAAAGTAATTTAGTTTTTGTTTGCCCAAATTACACACAAACAAAAACCTAAAAAGAAACAGTTTGTAACACTGGTTCCCAAACTTCTTGGCTTTTGTCAGCTTGAACATAATCTTTATTGGTTTATTATTGCTTTCAAATTTAGTTGAAAACTGAATGATTTTAGAGATCTAGCTCAGAAGCTGTTTGAGAGCAAGTTTGACTTTATTGGGGTTTTATAAAAACATGAACATCAAAAATAAACCGCCCAGTATCCAAAACAGTCCAGAATCTAAATATTGTAGGTTTTCCATTAGGTAGACCTCAGAGAGGCACTTGTGTCCAATTTCTCACATCTGTCATAATCTAAACTCCGTGTTCACGTTCTTTTCTTAACTCTCTCTAACTGGAGCTCCTTGGAAAGCTGTGAACTTTGAGGCAGAGCAGGAAACACTAGAGTTATTTAGAAATTAACATCATTCTCGATGAATCCAGCTGTTGTAAATGTATTGTTTCTTGTATTATACATTACGTGAAATATCTCCATTTTTGTAAAGATATGGTCCCCAAACTGTTGCTTTAATGTTTTTATCTCGTCCTCATTATTAAATTGCAAATATGTAACCGTATGAAAAAGTAAAAAAGTGAAATTAAAGACCTATTATCAGCAACATGTACTAAATCCCATACTAAAGGTTACGCCCTTGAAAGATTAATCACAAAAATGATATCATTTGTGGGATGATGCATGAAAGAAAGAAAAACAACGTGTGAAGTGAAAATGATTTAGAGAAATGGAGTCAGACAATGACTCAAAACGATAGAGAACCACTAGTTTAATCTTTAGCAATGCATTACATTTTATAAAATTAAATCAAATCTTAATCTAAAAAATGTAAGCACCTGTTGAAGGCCTAGCTGTTGGTCCATGGTTGAGTAAAAAGTAACTGTAGATATGTATATATAGCAAAGCACCTCAGAATGACACAAGTACGTACCGCCATGTTTCCCTACTTCTGAACGTCACAAACAGACCGGTCTCTTACTCAGAATGATGTACTCGTATATGTGTGACCCGTCCCAACGCTGAAATCCTGCCACCAAACCGTGTAACTGAGGACGGCCACTCCCAAGTTAGTAGAGCCCCCCCGGGGGGCGCTCTCTTTTAAAGGAGCCTCTTGGGATCCCGGGGGGAAAAGGGCCGTAATGGGCCCTGAGAGTTAAGGAGTGGCATTTCAGGCCTCAAGAGAGAGCGAGAGGGACGGGCGAATAAAGGGTGGAAGACGGTGACTGCAGGTGGCGCGGGTTGAATGACAGGGATCTCGCCTGGTTTAATAGTACAGCAGAAAGCGGAGGGATCGCGTAACAGTGTGAGGTCTCTCTGGACAAAACGTGTAATCAGCGAGTGGGAGGGAGGCTTCATCTGGGCTCACTGCGGGAGAAGGAAGGGAAGTGTTCACTGGCTCGAGGTGCAGTCCAAGTCAAAAGGGGTGTTTCACCTAATTCAAGAAAAATGGTGTTTTCGTCGGGGTAAATACTATGAGAGAATGTGCACTTGTGTCACTAGGTGGCGGGAAACTCTCTGAGAGGCAATATACACCTAGTTGAAGGGAGGAAAATATGTATTCATCCGTAATTAATCAGCAAAGTGCACTTAAATAAGTAACTTTTGACAATGTAGGCCAATATATGACCCTATGTGACATTGATATCTAAATAATATCTAAACAAGATCAGCTAGACAATTATTTTGTTATTGCCGACCTTTGCCATTGTTGATGATACTCGTCATCGGCGGCCAGCAGGTCGATTACGTGTGAAATCCTGCAGGTTTATCAAACATTAGCCAGCTAGATCGGGATTCGACCGTTGCCCTGAAAAACTAAAGCATTTGTCCTCACGGAGCACCAAAATAAAAACAAATTGAGAGTCCTTTGTAGTAGCTTTAAGGTCAAATTATTTTTTCTGCAGAATAATGGTCCCTGTGAGTAAATATATTTTATTATGAGATATTATTGGATGTTTTACTCATATATCATGTTGCACACTGTTTCCTTTTGTAGTGGTGTTATTTTTGCAGCTACACCTTAGGGCAGTAGAAATTATCGTATTCCACTATATGTTTTTTAAACTCAGAAGTTACGAATATATTCATTGCATATTTTTATCGTTGTTGTGGATCAAACGTATAAAAAGTTCTAAAAGTCTCTCAGAGTAATAAGGAACTAGTAACAATTCAGAGACTGGATGATGCCTGCAGGCTTCCACTTTGACAAAATGATGACTGAGGGGGAAGGGATGCAGATGCGTGCTGACGCAGGGGGGAGGCAGCGAGCGGGATACAGTTTCACCGTCCTCGCGCTCTGCCTTGGCGGCACTGGAGACCTCCAACAAGCGGCTGATTGTTGAGGAACATGAGCTGTTTCTATTGAGGGGCTGACAGGCGCTTGACCTCCGCTGTCCGTGCTGCTGCACGCTGACCTTGAAGAGAGGAAGCCGAGGGAAGCCTTTGAACACTTTCAAGTGAACTGTTACCGCCTTGTTTAAGTTCCCCCGGGAGGCTCGACACACGCCGGGACGGCTCACTTGGACAATGAAAGTCATCTACCCGGTTCATGCAAATTGGTTTTCTACAGACACACATTTTTATCTAATGATTTATGCGATTTTAAAAGCAACTTGAAAATGAAAGAGAAATATTGACTTTTGACACCGAAGATGGAGCTTTTCAAACAAACTTGCTCAATGCTTTGCAGAAGAGAAACTGTGACGGCAGCTTTTACTGTACTCACCATCTCTAGTTAGATGCTACATTGGCACAAAACTCAAAGTACTGTAAAGGTAAATTTAAAGAGAACTTTGTTAGTTTTAGATCTATCTTGTTATAAAAGTACTGACTTCCTGCCAGTGACATCATGAAGGCAGGTGCCAGCTGTGTGTTTGACAGCTGAAACTCATTGTCCAGGTGTGAAGAAATTCAACCACTTTCAACATTAACGGTTCTTTCCAACGTCGCTCCGACACTCGAATGCCGCAGAGCTGGAAAGACGGGAGGAACAGAATGGAGTGAAAGATGGATTCATCCTCACTGGACTTGGATCACTGACCCCTCATCTGGCCGGTGTAAAAGAAAATTCTGTTATCGTGGGAGGCAAACGATGTCATTGTCGTTGTCTATTTTCAACAGAATGTTGGTAAATAGAAACCGTTTCCGTTGAGGAGACTCAGGAATGAGAATGAAGGGTCAGCGAGGCGATGGCCACTTAAGGACCGATGAACACATGATTGGTTTCACCTGATTCTCAGCGAGGAACCCAGCATGTGCGTTCCTCAAACTCTTTTTCAATGGTAGAGTGGCGTTTTGTAATTTCACTGTAAAACCGCTTCACCCCCACACCCTTCACCCTTCACCCCACATACAAACAAATCAAACTGTTGTGGAACCTCTTTCGATTTCAATAACTAAAATGCGGCATGTTAAATTGTGTGTGTGTGTGTGTGTGTGTGTGTGTTAAATGCTACACTCCAGATTCGGGGAACACACAAACCTCTGTTAGTTGTGAAGCGATAGATATGGTGAGGTGAGGCGTGTGTGTGTGCATGTGTGCGTGAGAGGCAGTGAGAGAGGTAATGTATTAATAGTTGTGGTATTTAGGACATAACTAGCCAACTGCAAGTACCACACCTATTAATGGAGCATGTATACAAAGAAGGATGTGTATGTATAATTCTCCATACGGTTTAAGTTAAGAGAGGGACTGCAATGCAATAATAATAATAATAATAATTACTTTCCTTTTAATTGAGAGGATTTTGCTTTGCAGTTCGGCAGTCTTCTGAATTATGCACGTGTAGTAGAAAAAATAGTAATAATAATATATATTCTTAGCAGTAAAAATTGTGCGTCATAAATTGAGGCCTTCCCTCACACACCTGCTGCCCCGTGTGGTGTCTGTCAATGATCTCGGGGATGATTCGAGTCCTAAACTTGATCTTTTTATTGATGCCATGATGACTGCATTGTCCTTGTGTGCACCTAAACTAAATCCAATTAGCATTAAAATACGCCCAATCAAATCCTTTCCCCTTTTTTTCTTTTCTTCCTCCCCGTGTTCACTCCTCTCCACCCAATCTCTTACCTCGCACTCCTTCCTCTTCCTCCTCTTTACTCCACCCCCTCTTAGCACTCCCCACAAACACACTACCTGATAATCCATCCACCTTTTGTGTGCTGGAATGGCCGTCTAATGCGTTCCATCTGTATGTGTCGTTGGTTTGGCTGCGAGGGCAAAGCCTGCTGCTCTTTATTCACTCCCCCCTCTCCACTTCAACTTTCCAACAAAACCCCTGAGCCTGGTTCCACTCAGCCTTAAAGTCTAAGATCTCTCTCCCTCTCTCTCCCCACGCTGGGGCCCCTCCTGGCCTGAGGCGGCAGGGGGGAGGTCGGTCAGGCCCCTGGATCC